ACCGAGAGAATACACGCCTTGCCTTATAAGATTGCGTGCGTCCGCATGTAGATTGCGTGCGTCAACCAGGCGCTGATACGCTGGTAAGCGGAGAAAAGTCCCGCGAAGCTCCGGGTCCGTGATGAATTCCTCAGGTCCCTGAATAACCACCCCCATTTTTATACCGTGGCCTTCGTCGACCACGAACTTGGGGCCAAGGTACTTAATAATGAAGTCGTTTAGCGTCATTTGTTCAGGAGCATCTACTCCCTCAAGCCGTAGCACTTCCTCCACGGTACTGTAAAGAGCCCACTGTGGCCCCGCAGGTGCCTCGACCACCCTTCTGCGCTGTGCAGGGGGTTGATTGGAACCGCCGCCGTCGGACCCCGACCTCCACCGACGCTGCGCATTAGTGGCGGGGCTCTCCGCGGCAGCGTGAGTTTCTTCTCCGCCTCTTTCAGTCATTGTTTCTTGAGTTTATTTCCCTTTGTTGTTGTTGTCTTTGGCTTGCGCTGCGGCTGAAGACTCACCACCAGCCAAAAGGAGAATGCAAGGGGAAGAGAAACAAAAATATGGGCACACAGACGCACGACCCCACGCAGCCACATTCAGCAACAGAGAGAGAGAGAGAGGGCAGCAGCAGCCCACACGGTGCGGGGCACACGCAGTACGCGGCGCACGCCACATTTCAGCTTCCCGCTGAATGGGTGCGGTCAACCAACCAACACAGAAAATAAAACAATCTCCATAAAGTGAAGCCGAAGCGTGGGGGCGCGTCCACCGAGCAGTGGGGACGCGCAGCAACACGTGGGACGACCAGCACACACACACCCCATCTCTCTCTCTGTTCCCGCACAACCCAATCCAGGATGAGATAGAGAAGAAGCAAGAGGTCGCAAAAAAAGAAAATGAAAAAGCCCATGTGTATTGTATGCGGCAGCAAAGACAGTCGTTCCCTGTCCCGCGGCGGAACAGTCACCGGCCCGTCCTCTCCCCCTTCAGAGTGCAGTGACTTCCGCTTCTCCTGCCCTAAGCAACAGACGCGTATATATATATTTATATGATGCCGGGATTTGTCTTCTTCTCGCACATTATTGTTTTGCCCCCACACAGTTTCCACGCAAAGCAAGTCCGCCCAACACACAGATATCGGTTTTGCGGCCACTCGCAAGCAAAGCAAAGCAAAGCAAAGCAAGAGTTGTTATCTTCCGTCCTTCAAAAAGCAAACAAGGGTAGCGCAGTGAGTGTGTGCATCATATCATTACTGCTTCACTGCGGCCTGAGTGCGGGGCTCCACGGGGGGCACACAGGTGTGTGTGTGTGTATATTCATTACTCCCCCGCCGCAATTTGTTGGCGCCCAGTCGCAGTTCCTGCTGCGGCTCAAGACGGCAGCATCGCCACCGCGGCCGCGGCGAGCAGCACAAAGTGACTGCAGCCAACAGCCGCAGCAGCCGCACCGGCGTCGCTTCCGAGTTGCCGCGCCGCCCCGTCAAGTTTCTTCTGCACGGCGCTGCCGTTGACGGATGCCGCCGGCGTCGGGGTGGGCGGCGCAGGCACATCGGGGGACGCAGCTGCTGCTGCCGCCGCCGCCTCTGTGGCCTCCTCCGGACCGGGAGAATCTCCACCCGCTGCCCCGGCAGGGGCCCCCGCACCGGGCGACTCAAGTGCCGCGCCCTTCGCCTGCTCGGCTCCACTCAACACGCGCGGAACAACGAGGCTGCTGCCGTTGGCGGCGATGGTGCACACCTCCTCGTACCTCGGGCACTTGATCTTCCCGCCTGCCTCGAAACCCTC